GTCACAAACAGAACTGCCCGGTAAAACCGTAGGCAGAGAGAGAGAAGAGGACAACAAACGAGGGGCTGTGACAAACTGTTTCGTCGGAGTTTATATATATATATATCGTCACAAATAGAACTGCCCGGTAAACCGTAGGCAGAGAGAAAGAAGAGGACAATAAACGAGGGGCTGTGACAAACTGTTTCGTCGGAGTTTCACCGACTCATCAGGATATATATATATATATATATATATATATATGCAAAAAAAAAAAAAATCGCCAAAGATGGCGGTATCGAAAACATGCTCGAACACTCACTAAATTTAATTCTCTTTTCATTTTTATTTATTTTTGTTATTAGTATTTGTTTTTAGTATTTTATTGTTATTTCAAATTTGGTAAGGAATTCGGATGTAATGCTCAGGCAAATCTTGTTTAATTTGTTTTTCTCCATGACATATATTTTTTTCAGGTTTTTTTGATGAACTTTGTTTTTTGTTGTTGTTTTTTTTTGGGTCTGCGTTCGGCCCGAATGGCCGAACGCATCCCCAAGGGGTCCCATACGTTTGGGCGTTAGGGTTCGGGCGTTCGGCCCGTCCCAAGTGCCGGTTACCCGAATGCCCGAACCCGAACGCCCGCACGTATGGGACCCCTTGGGGATGCGTTCGGCCGTTCGGGCCGAACGCGGACACAAAAAAAAAAAAAAAAAAAAAAAAAAAAAATCTGAAAAAAAATCTGAAAAAAAATATGTTATGGAGAATAATAAATTAAACAAGATTTGCCTGAGCATTACATCCGAATTCCTTACCAAATTTGAAATAAAAATAAAATACGAAAAACAAATACTACTAATAAAAATAAATACGAATAAAAAGGGAATTAAATTTAGTGAGTGCGCGAACATATTTTCAACACTGTGATCTTTGGCGATTTTTTTTTTTTTTTTTGGCATAGCTAAATGCCCTGAAAATTTATGAATATGTACTTCACATAATACAAAACCCACTAAAAAAGTTTCAAAAAATAGTAAAATTGTTTAAACCCTGAACTAAAGTGAAAACAAAAACTAAAAAGTGAAAACAAACGTGGGCGAACTCGATTTGAGAACGCCATCTTTGGTGATTTTTAATTCTTATTTGGTTGAGCCAAATGATTTGAAACTTTATAGGCATGTGCCTCATGTCATAGAGAACTCACAAAAAACAATTCAGAAAAAAAAAGTTATTTGTAGACCCTAAAATAATTTTTGGCGGGGGTCAAACGCCATCAAGTTCGAACCCCGTACGGGACCCCGAATGCCCATACGTATGGAGGTCTGCACGGGGACCTCCGTACGTATGAGCTGGTGACCTTATCTATATATATATATATATATATATATATATATATATATACATATATATATATACATATATATATACATATATATATACATATATATATATATATACATATATATATATATACAAGGTTGACGGCTTTTGGGACGGGCCAAGCGCCCGAAACCGACCGCCCGACCGTTCGGCATCCCCTCTCGACGCGTTCGGTCGTTCGGCCGAATGAGGACCGACCCCCTCACAGAAGAAAAAAAACAAAATCGAAAAAATATAAAAAAAAATATATGTTATGCATAAAAATAAACGAAACAACATTTGCCTCAACGTTACATGCAAATTCTTTACCAAATTTGAAATCAAAATCGAATACTAAAAATAAATAATAAAAAAAAAAACAAAACAAAAAAAAAACAACGAAAATAAAATTATTGAGTGGGCGAGCACGTTTCTGACACCGTCATCTTTGGCATTTTTTTTCTCCCTTGTCACTTTTTGTTTTTCCTTCATTTCGGGGCATAAAACAATTTATTATTTTTTCAAACTTTATTTGTAGATTCTCTATTATGTAAGATAAACATATAAAAATTTTTCATAGCATTTATCACAGCCAAAAAAAAATAAAAATTGTCAGAGATGACGGTGTAAAAAACGTGCTCGCCCACTCAATAATTTTATTTTTGTTTTTTGTTTTTTTTTTTTGTTTTTTTTTTTTTTTTTTTTAGTATTCGATTTTGATTTCAAATTTGGTAAAGAATTTGCATGTAACGTTGAGGCAAATGTTGTTTAGTTTATTTTTATGCATAACATATATTCTTTTCATAGTTTTTAGATTTTTTTTTTTTTTTTTTTGTGAGGAGGGTCGGTCCTCTTTTGGCCGAATGACCGAACGCGTCGAGAGGGGATGCCGAACGGTCGGGCGGTCGGGTTCGGGCGCTCGGACCATCCCAAAAGTCGACAACCTTGTATATATATAATGTATATATTTATATATATATATATTTATATATATATATTTATATTTATATATATATATATATAT